CGAGTTAAGGGGCACCCAACCCAGTATTACACCATCTGATGCCGAGTTAATAGGCACCCAACACAGTATTACACGATCTAATGCCGAGTTAAGAGGCACCCAACACAGTATTACGCCATCTGATGCCGAGTGAAGGGGCACGCAACACAGTATTACACCATCTGATTCCGAGTTAAGGGGCACCCAACACAGTATTACACTATCTGATGCCGAGTTAAGGGGCACCCAACACAGTATAACACCATCTGATGCCGAGTTAAGGGGCACCTAACACAGTATTACACCATCTGATGCCGAGTTAATGGGCATCCAACACAGTATTACACCATCTGATGCCGAGTAAAGGGGCACCCACCACAGTATTACACCATCTGATGCCGAGTTAAGGGACACGCAACACAGTATTACACCATCTGATGACGAGTTAAGGGGCACGCAACACAGTATTACACCATCTGATGCCGAGTTAGGGGGCACGCAACACAGTATTACACCATCTGATGCCGAGTTAGGGGGCACGCAACACAGTATTACACCATCTGATGCCGGGTTAAGGGGCACCCAACACAGTATTACACCATCTGGTGCCGAGTTAAGGGGCACGCAACACAGTATTACACCATCTGATTCCGAGTTAATAGGCATCCAACACAGTATTACACCATCTGCTGCCGAGTGAAGGGGCACGCAACACAGTATTACACCATCTGATTCCGAGTTAAGGGGCACCCAACACAGTATTACACTATCTGATGCCGAGTTAAGGGGCACCCAACACAGAATTACACGATCTGATGCCGAGTTAAGAGGCACCCAACACAGTATTACTCCATCTGATGCCGAGTTAAGGGGCACCCAACACAGAATTACACCATCTGATGCCGAGTTAAGGGGCACCAAACACAGTATTACACCATCTGATGCCGAGTTAATGGGCATCCAACACAGTATTACACCATCTGATGCCTAGTTAAGGGGCACCCAACACAGTATTACACCATCTGGTGCCGAGTTAAGGGGCACGCAACACAGTATTACACCATCTGATGCCGGGTTAAGGGGCACCCAACACAGTATTACACCATCTGGTGCCGAGTTAAGGGGCACGCAACACAGTATTACACCATCTGATTCCGAGTTAATAGGCATCCAACACAGTATTACACCATCTGATGCCTAGTTAAGGGGCACCCAACACAGTATTACACCATCTGATTCCGAGTTAAGGGGCACCCAACACAGTATTACACTATCTGATGCCGAGTTAAGGGGCACCCAACACAGTATAACACCATCTGATGCCGAGTTAAGGGGCACCCAAGACAGTATTACACGATCTGATGCCGAGTTAAGAGGCACCCAACACAGGATTACACCATCTGATGCCGAGTTAAGAGGCACCCAACACAGGATTACACCATCTGATGCCGAGTTAAGAGGCACCCAATTCAGTATTACACCATCTGATGCCGAGTTAAGGGGCACGCAACACAGTATTCCACCATCTGATGCCGAGTTAAGAGGCACCCAATACAGTATTACACCATCTGATGCCGAGTTAAGGGGCACCCAACACAGTATTACACGATCTGATGCCGAGTTAAGAGGCACCCAACACAGTATCCCACCCAGTCACATTAAACTGACAACGGGTAAACGACTTGGTGCGATTATCCTACATTAAGAAAGTTGTTACGAAATAAAGAGAACAAATAAAGATCCTAACTGTTGCCAGGATTGCAGCAAATTAAGTTGTTCACCTCTGTGTCCCAAAGTAGACGACACAAAAGCAATCCTACGTCAGATTCTTCTTACATCATGCAATAGGTAACAACCTGTATATTGTTTCTATCAATCCCCGACCTACAGAGGTGTTACACGAGAAAGAATGCCACTTTGTACGTTTACACGCAGCGTAAACGAGAAGAATGTGGACCTCCCTCTTTTAATTGATATATATATAACAAAGAGAGAAATGTCCCCGTCAAATTATGTATATACAGACATATATCGAGAAAAATAGGCCACCCATGCAGATTTCTACACAGGCTAACTAACACACTGTGTTTTAATACATATCTAGTGAAAAATATTCCTTACCACACTTAAGATTTTAACCCGCAACATTGCCAACGTCTTATAGGATTTGTACGTCTTCCAAAATCTTACAGAGAATGGTGCCACTTAAAATAATGTTTGTTCCGAACAAGTCAGATCTAAACATGTCTAAATCCTTGATCGTATAGGAAGCAGTTGGGTGGAGCGGCTGGGTTTTAATGTAAAACATGCATATTCATTTATGAAAAAAAACAACAATTTCTTACATAATTCAATTTGTTTCAAACATGTTATCATGCTTTTAAGATGTAGTTTACTATTCTTTTAAATTCAAAGGGCCGCTGAAAAAAGTTACACTAGAATGCCGTTTGATAGCTTACAGTTTTCTGATGGAAATGTTGATTATTGTCTGCAGTTAAGCACAGACTCAAAGAGAAGTTGTGCGCGAGAGAAATGCATCTCTGATGCTACAATAGGGACCACACCCCCAGACAATACATCTAGCATATGTTGATTCAATTATGATAAGTGCGTAGAATATACGGTAAAATCATTTTGGAGATACAGGTTACCAAAAACTGTTTGAAATAGGGTGACGTATCCGGTCACTTATTAATGTTTACATTTACTTTACGTACTTCATCAACTTATTCAATGGATATTCCTCAATTAGTCTCTAATTCAATGTACTCAAAACTCATTTACCGACAGAAAGTAGTACTCAAAACTCATATACCGACAGAAAGTAGTGCTCAAAACTCATATACCGACAGAAAGTAGTACTCAATACTCATTTACCGACAGAAAGTAGTGCTCAGTACTCATATACCGACAGACAGTAGTGCTCAAAACTCATATACCGACAAAAAGTAGTACTCAATACTCATTTACCGACAGAAAGTAGTGCTCAAAACTCATATACCGACAGAAAGTAGTGCTCAGTACTCATATCCCGACAGAAAGTAGTACTCAATACTCATATACCTACGGAAAGTAGTACTCAATAGTCATATACCGACAGAAAGTAGTGCTCAGTACTCATATACCGACAGAAAGTAGGACTCAATACTCATATACCGACAGAAAGTAGTACTCAATACTCATTTACCGACAGAAAGTAGTGCTCAGTACTCATATACCGACAGACAGTAGTGCTCAAAACTCATATACCGACAAAAAGTAGTACTCAATACTCATTTACCGACAGAAAGTAGTGCTCAAAACTCATATACCGACAGAAAGTAGTACTCAATACGCATATGCCGACAGAAAGTAGTACTCAAAACTCATATACCGATAGAAAGTAGTACTCAAAACTCATATACCGACAGAAAGTAGTACTCAAAACTCATATACCGATAGAAAGTAGTACTCAAAACTCATATACCGACAGAAAGTAGTGCTCAAAACTCATATCCCGACAGAAAGTAGTGCTCAGTACTCATATACCGACAGAAAGTAGAACTCAAAACTCATATACCGACAGAAAGTAGTGCTCAGTACTCATATCCCGACAGAAAGTAGTACTCAATACTCATATACCGACAGAAGGTAGTGGTCAGTACTCATATACCGACAGAAAGTAGTACTCAATACGCATATGCCGACAGAAAGTAGTACTCAAAACTCATATACCGACACAAAGTAGTACTCAAAACTCATATACCCACAGAAAGTAGTACTCAAAACTCATATACCGACAGAAAGTAGTGCTCAAAACTCATATCCCGACAGAAAGTAGTGCTCAGTACTCATATACCGACAGAAAGTAGTACTTAATACTCATATACCGACAGAAAGTAGTACTCAAAACTCATATACCGACAGAAAGTAGTACTCAATACTCATTTACCGACAGAAAGTAGTGCTCAAAACTCATATACCGACAGAAAGTAGTACTCAATACTCATTTACCGACAGAAAGTAGTGCTCAAAACTCATATACCGACAGAAAGTAGTACTCAATACTCATATACCGACAGAAAGTAGTGCTCAGTTTAATGAAAGTACATAATTGTTCACGTTTTCGAGCCATACAGTCACTCTGCGACATATTTGGAATATGTTTTAACAAAACTAACGATCATGGCTAAACTCCTTTATGTGATCTTTGAACGAAGCAAAGAAACCGCACCTAGCTACTGTTAGATCATACGTGGAATATTTAATACTAATGGATACTTTGCTGTGTTGATAATGTCATCTAATAATGACGTATCAATCAAGGTCAATCTTGATCAAATATAACAATACTTAAAGATGCACTCTAAAATATAAATGTTGAGATCTCAGAATATGACTATAACAGCAAGATGACATAAAAACATTTAGTACCCGCCAACATAGGTTCTTTATTTCCCAGAAATACATTTATCCGAGAAACTTTTATAGCGTTTTAAATTCTCAAGCACTTAAAATCATTTGCGACAGTGGCATACCAGAGACAGGTTAACAATTGTATTACCGACATTAACACGTAGCTTTGACGCTAGAACAACTAACGCTGTGATGGCAGCGTGGAGATCAAACATATCTAGTCGGTGCCAGTGGAATGATGGTGTGCAAATGAAAAACATGCATAAAATGATTTCAACTTAAAGATAATTTTTTAATGTGTTTTGATCATGTATTCATTTGCCAAACGTCATTTCAATTGAAACCTTAAAGATGATCTAAAAATTCCTTTCGAGAGTACAAAGAACGTTAAAACACCATCAAATTTGTAGTATTGAAAATACAAACGAAAAATAAATAAATCAAACCATTTCTTTGATATCATAAACATGGGTATCGTGTTCTTGTATCGATTACAGATAGTGATGTCTTTCAAAGTTACAATGTACATACTTTAGGTATTTATATGTAAACCTGATAAAAATGTAAAATATTTTAAAACGTGTATTATAAACAGCGTGTACACTGATACAGTGCATGGTACTTACGTTAGGCTGTAGGAGAACTTAGTCAGGTCAAAGTGTTGATCAGAAATGTAGCCACTGACAGGAATTACTTCACTGTATTTCTCCGGGAAGGGAACACACCGATATATATAGTCACTGGGCCATGTCCATTTTATTCATGCACGCGCGCGTGCGCGTATCGTTTTACATTGATGTTGCCTCAATACAACCAGTGCCCAGCCATGCAGTTTGTATTATTCCCGTGTATGTATACACTTCGATACATTTTTTTTAACCAAATGTTAAATGAGAAAACGTTTATTATCCTTGTATAAACACTCGCAGCTCAAAGGGAGGTATAGTGTTTTCTAAACAAACTGTGATTTATAACGAAAATAATGACGGAAATAGTTTATCATGAGATATAACAATGACTTCCAGAAGTATCATAAACGGAAATAGAAACAGACATTTGCTTTTAGTGTTGGTGATGAAACAGTACACTAAACAGGTGTGGACCAAACCATACACTACACTACTGGCAGAAAACATCCGCGTTCCTCGCCTAGCTTACAATAAACACATTATATATTACACTCGTGTCCACCTCCCTATCTTCATGTAATTATATTGGTCATGTCCCATACCTATCTAACATTATCATTTCTCGACCGCTACCTAAATGTCATTGTAAAGTGCTATGTAATTACCGAAGCGTCATAACCAGGAAACGGTAGCTCCACCCGGTCCTATAATACTTAGAGTGGCCAGCCAGTCCTTATTCTCATCTATTCAAAACTGAACGTGAGGCAGGGAGCGGCTATTTCCCACCTTTAATACTTTGGTTTGACTAGATCTTGGACTATAACCCATATCCTTGTTCATTCAACAGCAAGACCAAACGCGAGGTATTGACAGAGTTGTTAGGAAACGAAAACGTAGTTACACAGGAGAGAAAATAGAAAGATCCCGGATGTTGCAATGAGTGCACGACGTAAATTGTGGTCGCTTTTGTGTCTCTAAGTAGGGGCACACAGGCACATTTCCGATTCTACAGGGGGCTACGACGTTAGTCGCCTCATACCAATAATAATGCAGCGGGCAGGAGCAGATACATCCTTTTCGAGAAAGGACGCTAAATTCTAAAACCACAAACCAAAAAAATGTCTCCCTCGCAAAATAAGTTCAATGCTCTATCAGCTTAGGTATGTAGTCAGCCTGGACACTATGGTCACCTAATGATGTAAATTGATATTCTACATTACATGTTACATCGTCCTCTCAACAACAATCTACGCCATCACATGTTTCTAATATATACTGGAATAGGTTTCATTTCTCCTTATATTCTTGCTTATACTAGCTACTAATAATCAGTAATAATGGACGCCGTGATATAATATATTGCTGTAATATGTAATAAACGACCCTTTTATTAATTAACTATGCAGATATCAAAACAATGAAACAGGTAATTCTTACATGTTTAATCAGAAAATAGCTTTTGTTTAATGTTGTTTAAACAATAGCAAATTTAAATTGAACATTTGTCACATTTTCATTGTTGTTCTTATTGCGACGATTCAGATTGGCGCATAAACTGATCATGGGAGATCTTCCTTTTCTTTTCGGTAGGGGCAAGGTTTATAACTATAGATCCTCCAGAGATGGTGGCACCAGAAAATAATGAAAAGGGAAAACACTCGGAGTCGACTGCGCTTTTGATAAATATATAATAACATATCGGGTTTTGCCGTAGGATAAGAAGTTCCCTTCCGGTGAGTTCCGAACGGTTTACCGAGCGCGTTCGATTACGCGCGTTTTCTCGTATTGGCCGAGTTTGTCAAAAGTCGGCTAATGTTTTCCATGAAGGCCGACTTTTTCAATATTGGCCGACTTTGTGCAACAATTCCGATATTGGCTGAGATTGTTGATTATATTGCACGGGCCGTTTATTACATATTACAGCAATATCTCCATAGTTAATTAATAATGTGCAATATTGTACAATGTAATACTAGCAGGCATATACACTGGTAAGCGCTATGTCTATACAAGCTCTAAATGATTGATATCACAACATTGTAACATTATATCATATACAAGTACACACTGTACAAACAGGAGCTGATATAATAGTACCTAACCCTTACTCTAACCTACGAGTCGGATGGCTCTCGGAAATAACGATACTGAAACTGAGATGGCTGTCTAGGGAGATACCACCATAATCTGTAAATGTGTGTGTGGTTTATGAGCTGTGTACAGAGTAAGAGGGCCATTACTCTATCAGTATTATTTGTGTATAAGAGATGAATGGTAATAAAGCGTTTATTATGGTAGGTGCTACAATGTAGTATGTCAAGATGAATTGGCATTTGATACCTAAAGTGATATTGCCAAAGAACGCATATATGATATGTCTCTAAATGAAATCGGGATATCGTTAAATACAATGGAGATTTGTAATATTTGAAATATTTCAACTGTTTTTAAGATATCTCACAAACAGATATATCAATTGGTATGCCATATGTTAGCACAGTGTACTCGTCTGTTAATTGTACCCGCCTGTTTAGTAGTGGTTGCTTGTGTGTGGCAGTACCATCATTACTTATACTACTTAACCCTCATATCACGTAATATCGATAACGTTAATAATCTACTCAATACCTAACCATTACAGCTACTTCATATTTCTATCAATTTGAAACATCTACTACATCAACTGAAACTTGTTCACATTGTATTCATAAACTTCACAGTGCACTTGTCTAGTTACTTGATGCTCTTACTAGAACTACGTTATATATATTCATTAAAGGTAACAATATCTTTTCTTTCCTTGTTCTCCTGTCACATCAATTGTTAGTCATGAGGCAATCGTGTTATCATTCTTAATGCAAAGTACGTACCTACCTTTATCGTTAGGTCAATGTGTATACCCCTCTTGTACTTTAGAAATAATGAGTAAGTAGTTAACAACAAGAACAAGAGAAGATTCTAAAGAAAAACGAATCATAACCATAAATTTGTTTGTTTGTTCGGAGTGTAACGTCCTCGCAACAGCTATGGTCACATAAAGATGGTGCCTAGGGAGATACCACCAACAGCTATGGTCACATAAAGATGGGTGCCTTGCGAGATACCACCAACAGCTATGGTCTCATAAAGATGGTGCCTAGGGCGATACCACCAACAGCTATGGTCACATAAAGATGGGGCCTAGGGAGATTCCACCAACAGCTATGGTCACATAAAGATGGGTGCCTTGCGAGATACCACCAACAGCTATGGTCACATAAAGATGGTGCCTAGGGAGATACTACCAACAGCTATGGTCTCATAAAGATGGTTGCTTGGGAGATACCACCAACAGCTATGGTCTCATAAAGATGGGTGACCTCGGAGATACCACCAACAGCTATGGTCTCATAAAGATGGGTGCCTTGGGAGATACCACCAACAGCTATGTTCACATAAAGATGGGTACCTTGGGAGATACCACCAACAGCTATGTTCACATAAAGATGGGTGCCTTGGGAGATACCACCAACAGCTATGTTCACATAAAGATGGGTGCCTAGGGAGATACCACCAACAGCTATGGTCACATAAAGATGGTGCCGTGGGATATACCACCAACAACTATGGTCACATAAGGATGGGTGCCTAGGGAGATACCACCAACAGCTATGGTCACATAAAGATGGGTGCCCAGGGAGATACCACCAACAACTATGGTCACATAAAGATGGGTGCCTTGGGAGATACCACCAACAGCTATGGTCACATAAAGATGGGTGCCTTGGGATATACCACCAACAGCTATGGTCACATAACGATAGATGCCTTGGGAGATACCACCAACAGCTATGGTCACATAAAGATGGTGCCTAGGGAGATACCACCAACAGCTATGGTCACATAAAGATGGGTGCCTAGGGAGATACCACCAACAGCTATGGTCACATAAAGATGGGTGCCTAGGGAGATACCACCAACAGCTATGGTCACATAAAGATGGGTGCCTAGGGAGATACCACCAACAACTATGGTCACATAAAGATGGGTGCCTAGGGAGATACCACCAACAGCTATGGTCACATAAAGATGGGTGCCTAGGGAGATACCACCAACAACTATGGTCACATAAAGATGGGTGCCTAGGGAGATACCACCAACAGCTATGGTCACATAAAGATGGGTGCCTAGGGAGATACCACCAACAACTATGGTCACATAAAGATGGGTGCCTAGGGAGATACCACCAACAGCTATGGTCACATAAAGATGGGTGCCTAGGGAGATACCACCAACAACTATGGTCACATAAAGATGGGTGCCTTGGGAGATACCACCAACAGCTATGGTCACATAAAGATTGGTGCCTTGGGATATACCACCAACAACTATGGTCACATAACGATAGATGCCCTGGGAGATACCACCAACAGCTATGGTCACATAAAGATGGTGCCTAGGGAGATACCACCAACAGCTATGGTCACATAAAGATGGTGCCGTGGGATATACCACCAACGACTATGGTCACATAAAGATGGATGCATTGGGAGATCCCACCAACAGCTTTGGTCACATAAAGATGGGTGCCTTTGGAGATACCACCAACAGCTATGGTCGCATAAAGATGGTTGCCTTTGGAGATACCACCAAGAACTATGGTCACATAAAGATGGTGCCTAGGGAGATACTACCAACAGCTATGGTCACATAAAGGTGGGTGCCTAGGGAGATATTACCAACAGCTATGGTCACATAAAGATGGGTGCCTAGGGAGATACTACCAACAGCTATGGTCACATATAGATGGTGCCGTGGGAGATCCCACAACAGCTATGGTCACATAAAGATGGGTGCCTAGGGAGATACTACCAACAGCTATGGTCACATATAGATGGTGCCGTGGGAGATCCCACAACAGCTATGGTCACATAAAGATGGGTGCCTAGGGAGATACTACCAACAGCTATGGTCACATATAGATGGTGCCGTGGGAGATCCCACAACAGCTATGGTCACATAAAGATGGGTGCCTAGGGAGATACTACCAACAGCTATGGTCACATATAGATGGTGCCGTGGGAGATCCCACAACAGCTATGGTCACATAAAGATGGGTGCCTAGGGAGATACTACCAACAGCTATGGTCACATATAGATGGTGCCGTGGGAGATCCCACAACAGCTATGGTCACATAAAGATGGGTGCCTAGGGAGATACTACCAACAGCTATGGTCACATATAGATGGTGCCGTGGGAGATCCCACAACAGCTATGGTCACATAAAGATGGGTGCCTAGGGAGATACTACCAAC